ACATGATGATTTTAAATTTATTATCTAATCATTTCAGCATATTAAGTTATTTGCTTCTAAATCACTTTGCTCTGTTTTCTTCTGCATCCAATGAGTTCCAGTCATTGTTTTATTCTTGAGCTATATCAGAGAACAAATCAATCAGAAGGCTCTGCCCTTATGGAATATGGAACATATGTTAACAAAGGAAGCAACTACAAGTAAACGGTCAACAAAACATATAATTAAATTATGTTAGAAAATATATTGGAAGTTGGACTGGTCCTGTGGCCTAGGGCTTAAGAGACCCAGATCCCACGTTGCTGACTGTGGTTTAAATCCTGGCCCTGAGTGGTTTGAAAAGCACACCAAGTGTCTGTGCTTGCACATTCAAAATATAGACAGGTTAGAAAGCTGCAAGAGAAGAAATTGTGGTATGACCATACCTACTGGGGATTGCTTTCTCCCTCTCTCTCTTTGCTTCTCTATCTCTCTCCAGAGAGTACATGCCTCCTTGGACAATTACATATATTGGGTCATCAGAAAAGTCATGACATATTTTTCTATATTTTCTATGCAAAAATGCATCATGGCTTTTCCAATGACCCAATAGATAATGTTTGTATCATTTTGCATTAAAAGCTGAAATGTGGGAGCCAGCAGATGACATAGCAATTACATCACTATACTCCCACATGGCTGACCGTGGTTCACATCCCTGACCCAGTGCCTTCAAAATCGCACTGGGTGCAGGTGCGGTCATGCCTAAGATCCCAGGAGAAGAGACTGCAGTGTGGTCATCCCCTCTGGGGAAGTGATTTCTCACTTTCCCTCTCACTGTCTTTGTCTCTCTCTGGTGAGCACACATGCCCTAAGGCAAAAATCTCTTAAAAAAAAAAAAAAAAAAAAAAAAAAGGTTGAAGTGTGCTATAGAAAAAGGAAGAGGGATTGCAAGATCCAGGGATGAAGGCACAGATAGTAGATTTAAATCAGATGACCAAGGCAAACTCACTTAGGCAGTAGGATTCAAGAAAGGACTTTAAGGAAGATAAACCATAGGGAAGTTTTGGAGAAGACGGTAGGGAGAGTAGCAAGTACAAAAGCCTTAGGGTCAGAGCAGTCAGTACCTAATTTTGCAAAAGAACAGTAAGAAAACTAGTATAGCTAGAGTGAAATATGGAAAGAAAGCAATAGCAGGAAGCTGGGATCTACATCACATAATACCTGGTAGGCCACCATAAGGACTTTTGCTTTTACTTTTAGGAAAGTAAGGGGAGCCATTGGTGGATTTTGAGCCGAGGAGTGACAGGATCTGACTTCTGTCATTCTCTTACTGAGAACAGACTCTAGGTGACTAAGTATGGAAGCAAGAAAAACATCTAGGAGACTACTGCAAGTCTGGATGAGCACTGATTGATAGAGGCTAGAAGTAATATAATAGTGGTGACAGAGGAGAAAAGCCGTTGGACTGGATACATTACAAAGAAAGAGTTAAGAGAATTTGCTGATGGATCAGTGTGGGAGATGTGAGAGAGAAACTGCACTGTTATGGAAATAGGAAAGCATACAGATAAAGCACTGGGGTGAAATACATCAAAGGCTAAGTTTTAGACTGGTTAAGGTTGAAATGGCTATTTCACATCCAAGTAGAGAGGATTGGTAGACAATGGTTAAGTGTGCCTAGAGTTTTTACAAGAAGGTATAGGCTGGAAAGAGAAATTTGGGAGTAATAAGCATATAGATGGTATTTAATATTTTTAGAATGAATGAGGCTACCATGATAGTCTAAGAAAGTGGTCAAAGGTAGATTCCAGAAGCACTTCAGTGTTGGGACCAACAGATGGCATGACAGATAGTTGCTAGACTCCCACATAGTTGACCACAGTTCAAGTCCCAGACCTGGAGGCTTAAAACTCACGCTAGGAGCATGTGTGTGCATGCCCAGAGTCTTGAGAGGAGAATGAAGGAGAAGAGATTTCAGCATGGTCATTCCTCCTGGGAGGTGATTTCTCGGTTTCTGGCTGTCTCTCTGGCAAGTGCACATACCTATAGCAAAAATCTCTCATAAAAGAAGAGGAAGAGGAAGAGGAAGAGAAAGAGAAAGAGGGAGAGGAGGAGGAGGAGGAAGAAGAAAATAAAGAAGAAAGAAGAAAGGAGAAAGCAGTAGCAGCAGCAGCATTTCAGTGTTATGAGGTCAGGCATGTGCAGAGAACTCCACAAAGGAAAATGAAAAGGAGTAACCACTGAGATATGTGGAAACCTGGGAGGCTATGGTGATCCAGAAGCCAAGCAAAGAAACAGTTTCACAGAAGAGGAAGTAATTCACCATGACAAGTGACACTCACAGTCAAACAATAAAGATTAAGAAATAACCACAGGATTTGCAATGTGGACATTGGTAGAGACCATAAAAAGAATGTTACTTTGGACAGGGAGAGTCTAAAACCTGATCAGAGTGTGTTTAAGGAAAATTCTTGATGTTTTACTGTAAAGGGGGATAAAGTAGAAAATGGGAAAGTATTATCAGTAGAACTTGTATTTTATGCCGATGGAGATTTTGTAGGTGAGATGGAATGGATCATTTGGTGATTCAGGAAAGAGGGGAAAGTTTTATTAGAACAAAGGTCCCCAGTAGATGAAGGAGACAGAATCATAAAGAGAAGCCAGCATGGCAGTACAGACATCTGTAGGTAAGTTGGGGTAGAGGTGGGAGCCTAAGAAGGTCTCATCTTTCTGTCACTGCTTTTTTCCAATAAAGGCAGACCTGAAAACCACTTTGAACTTGGATGTGCCCCTCCTAGTATGGAAACTTCACCCAGTCAGTCTCACTACCATATCACTGGAAAAAGACAGTTCTGTCTTTTACCTGTGAAGAGTCTAAGTGAAGATTTAGAGCTCATTATCTAAGGCCTACCAATATTCATTTTTGAGCCAGATGGCCAAATCTTCATTTCCTTGAAGATCGGCCCATGTGGTTATTCATTTTGGCTCTTCCATCATCTTCCTCTTGATCTCAGGCATTTTTCTATGGACTCTCTACATTTCAGGATTTGTTATTAGAGAAGAAATGACAAATGTGGAGCATGTTTACAAGTCTTGAATCTTAGTTTTTTCACAACTAAGTTATACGATAATGTCTTAAGGTCTACAACATCCCATTTTCCATGTGACTCTTATTCCACATATATTTATGAATAAGTCAATAATGTGTATATTATATCATACAAAGCAAATATACAGAGTTCTGATCATTTTTTTCTCTTCCATGTTGTCCCTATTCTGAATGTCATAGAAAAATAATTGAGCATATATGATGGATAAATGGACACATCTATGGACCACCAGATGGTGTAATGATTATGTTTTTAGACTCCTATGTTGTTGACCATGGTTTGTGTCCTGGACCAGATGACTTAAAACTCACGGCAGCACACATACATGCATGCCCAAGATCCCGAGAGGAGAATGGAGGAGAAGGGACTGCAGCATGGCCATCCCTGCTAGGGAATGATTTCTCACTTTCCGCCTCTGGTGAGCACATGTGCCCTATAGCAAAAATCTCTCTCTCAAAAAAAAAATGGACACATCTAAATGCATTCTCCATCAATTTGCCTACATTGAATTATCTTAAATATGTACACACTTATAAAAATCTATCCATCAGTTTTAAACTATTAGGTGTTTTTCAAGAAAATATTCATGTCAGATTTCTAACAACTAAATTTCTAAAAATGATCTTTTGTCTCTCAAATATCTATCTATCATCATATATCTGTCTTAATTGCCAGAGTATATGTGTGCTAACCAGACAGAGAGAGAGAGACAAAAAAATAGAGAGGGAGGGAGAAAGCACCCTCCAGTGACATGTGGTCTATTTCTCCATCCTGTCAAGATTCTGGGTATGCCTGCACATATTCCTAGTATATTTCCAAGCTACCAGGGCCAGAATCTCAGTTGGCCACTTGGAATCTAGCTCCCTTAACCACTATGCCATTAGCTAGCTCGCTTCAAATATTTATTAAAAGGTCTTTTCTAGAGTTTCCAGGTCAGTAAGCACTTGATTATTTTGTTGTATTTTACCAGTTTAAAGATGTCTATATGTTCAGTGTACAAGGGGGGGGGTCTTCAAAAAGTTCATGGAACATGCATATCATGAAAACAGTTATACATGAATTTCAAAAACAATTTGCACCAAAATAAACTTGTATTTTAATTTCATTTTTCCTCATTTTTATAAAGAACTTGTTCAAGATCCCTCATTTGTGTGTGTGTGTGTATGTGCATGTGTGTGTGTGTGTGTGTGTGTGTATTTGAATAGGTATATGTTCACATGAGTTTCAATTAAGCTATAAAACCCATTGTAGTTAGTTTTGATTCTATACACGTTATAAACTTCATAATCATATACATTCTGAAGCTTTGATGCTGATTTAATAATATATTGTGCTCACGAAATATATTAAACATGTATTAAAACACAGGTGCTAGATTTTCTTCACAGAAATATGTAAGGACATTTCATTTTTTAAAAGTTCCTTTTGCTGTAGGGTTGTTAAAAAATCACTTTGTGGTGAAAAATTAAGTACTGGTTCCTTTGATGTGCTAGTTTCACTGCAAGAATATATTACTAGAGAATGTTTATGATTTTTATAACAATAATTCACTTAAAATCTTCCTGAAAAAAAAAATCCATTTGTTTTTGTTGCAGGTCTGCGCAAGGGGTGATAAAAAGCCTTAAAGCCCAGGCGGTCACCAGGCGGTGGTAACAAAGGGCAGATGTCATTTTTTATTGTGATTGGACATAGCTGAAATCAGGACTTCCTCTCTCAGAAACTATTGTTGAATTTACAGTAATCACCCTGGCTGACTGCCTGCCCATCACGCAGCCAAACAGCACACCGAAAAAAAATTAATAATAATATCTGGGAAGACGGCCACAATGTATTTTTAAAATTCTTGCTGTTTCTATTCTTCAACTTTGAAAGATGATTTTTTTTAAGAGAAAAGTAAAAAAAACTCACCCAGCTGTTACCACTATTCATATTCCAATAGCCTCCAGACTGCTCGAGGCCACCTGGTTGACTTCTGCCTTGGAGTCGGTCCAGAAAAGCATTATTTACCCTTTAAAACAATGAAAAATGTGTGTAAGTAGAAAGCTTGCTGCAGGGCTAAGAGATTTTTGAAAATGTAATGTGCTGTATGAACTGACTTCAGGGAATGCTTCCCTCTTTCAGCTCAGAGGAAATCTACAGAAACTTCTTTTCACATTAACCACGTGACATGCCGTCAACAACCCTTTCCTAGAGTGGGTACCAGTCTTGGCTCAGGCCAAGGTGAGCACAGATTCTTAACTTTGAAGTTTTCCTTACTCAATTTCCACCAGGTGAGCAAAAGCCGTGGTCGCATGGGCAAATACACCTATCAGGGCTTTGGGGCTGAGAAGACAGTATCTCAGAATGATGGTCTCAGAAGCATTGTTTCTCTTTGTCCATCTGTTCTCTTGTGTTTGACTTCATTTTTCCTCAAGGCAACCCAGAGAAACTAGAATTCCCCAAGGTGGTCAAGAAACCAAAACCCCCTTTTCTCCAAAGCCAAACATAAAACCTAATAATATTACTATAACCTTCCCTTACCTTTCTGTGTAAGTGTCAGCCTTTAAAAAATGCTCTGACATTTTATAATAAGACCTTCATTCCTGAGGGGACTTGAGAGGAAGGACTGCTTCACAGAAAGGCCAAGAAGAATCTAAACAGACAGGTCTTGCTAGGTTTCCCAACTAGTTCTATGTCCATTAGTTCATGCCCTTTTTATCCAATCACATTTCTACACTGTTGTTCCTGCTTCACTGAATGTAAACATAAAATTACATAGTTTGATAGCTTCTGTTTCTCTGGGTCTTCAATTTGAAGGTTCGTGTGTGCGTATGCGCGCATGCATCTGTGTTTATAAAATAAATCTATAGGCCTTTTCCTTACTAATCTGCATATTGTCACTGATTTTCAGAGAAACTCAGGGTGAAGGGGCAAAACAAAACAAAACAAAACAAAACAGGACCCCTATAGGGCTATGAGAGGCATAAACCCCAGAGGCTGAGGACAGATTGAAGCTTTAGCAAGACCCAAAGCAAGCAACAAAAAAGAAAGAAAGAAAACCACTTTGGCATTACTGCTGCAAGGCAGATGTCTCACTGCCAGTCTGGCTAACATAAACTCCATAAGTGAAAAGTAGAAGGAAATGCCAGAGGGAAGTAGTGAAATATCTGAAGAGAAAAGCTCAAGCCTTCAAAAAGTAGGAATGGGTACACTTCCCCCGATATTCTGTCATACTTTCAGCAATCAATTGTAGAAGTAAATGTAATCACAGGAGATAAAACTATAAAGTCATGAAAGTGGTTGTCACAAAGGTCAGGATAAGGGTGGCCTCTAGGATGATAATTATATTTCTAGAATTGGCTATCTGGGTGTTCACCTTATAATCAATATTCTAAATATTTGTTTTATGGACTCTTGTGTATAATATGACAATTTTTAAATAAAAAATAATTAAAGGCAACCTCATGCTCCGAGTTGCCCATGTATGACTGAGTAGATTCAGGGACTCAGAGGTTGAAAAAATAGCTTTGTAATAAGTACCCTATGATATCAATGGATTGTTGAGGAATATCATTGCTATGGTTTAGATGTCCCTTGAAATTCATGTGTTGAGATCTAATGGTAATGAGATTAAAAGGGTAAAAACTTGATCCAATTGTTGTGTTGAAAAGTGGAGATTTGGGGAAGAGATTAATGATGGGGTTGTTAGGATGGGACCCTGATTGAGTCCTGGTGAGTTTATAAGGAGAGGGAATGAGGCAGAGAGAGACCCACATGGATACAGAATATGCCCCTGCCCTCCATCATGCTGTGATGCAAATGTAACCCTGAACCTTAGGCCTCCGCTCTATGAACTAAATAAACCTCTATTCTCTGAAATTATCTGGACTCAGGTATTTTTCAGTTATTAGCAATAGAACAGACTAGCACAAGCATCAATAAGACTATAACCTTGGAAGCAGAAACATTGTCAGGTCTGTAGCAGCTTCTCAATGCACATTTGTGGAACGAAAGAGGGCACACACATTAGCCTCCTTTCAGTCATGAAGGTCTGCACAATATGATCATGGTGGGTAGACATAAATCAAAGACTGTGGGAGTTTTGGGAACTTGGAAGAAAATAACAGTGTGTGGCAATGTCAGACTGGAGGTTGCCTGTGCTTGATCGGTGCTAGCTAAGATGCCAACCCCTCCATTGACTCAGTTTGATCTTTGGGTTACTGAGTTACTGTTTTTCAGCAATTTCAAGTGCCATCCGGCAGTGGTTACATCTCTGCTATTATAAAGCTTTTTTCTCTCCTACCATAAAATCTATTCAAGTGCCACATTCTGGTCATCCTGATCTGCTACAAGGTTCAACGTTTAAGTCACCTTTTCTAAATCTATCTGCATGCAGATTTAACAGTATCTTACTAAGCTGGACACTAAGATATTAAGGAAGAGTGACTGACCTTGATACTCCTTAAACAACACAACCAGTGGTATTCTGGCTGCCTATACTCTAGGGCCAAATACTTTGAGTCTTTTTGTCAGTAATGAAGATGGGCTTTCCCTCCGTATCCTCTACCCCATTCCACTCCACATCCAAACTACTAGAAGTGTTGTTTGCTCTGCCTATTAAACGCATCCTACAATATTTATATTCATCAACCCCATTCTAGGACACATCATTGTCACCACTCACCTTGCTGTTGCTTTTATGCCTACCCTCTAAAATCCATTCTCCGCACAACCACCTTACTGAATTGTAAAAGAGATTATGCCTTACTTTGCTTAAAACTTTCCCTTTACTTCCCATTGATCCTAGATTATAATCACTGAATTACAAAATCTTGTATTGTCTTGCTTCTGCTTACATTCCCTATATCACTATGTATTATTCTCTTTCTTTCCTGCTATAATCCAATAAACACAATATAGTTCAAATTAACCCCAACTGTGGTGGTGCATGCTCCTAAAATACTGTGCTCCATAGGCTAGAACCACGAGGGAGGCCTGGGTTAGATTCCTGGTCCAATATAAAGACTGGGCACAGTGGCACATGCCTATAATTCTAGCAATTTAGGGAGACTGAAACAGGAGGATCTTAAGTATAAGGCTGACCTGAGCAACATAACCAAAACTTTCTTATAAAAGAGCTGGTTGGGGCCAACAGGTGGTGTAGTGGCTAAGGCACTGGACTCCTACATGGTTGACGGCGGTTCAAACTCAAGACCCAGTGGCTTAAAAATCTCACAGGGTGCATGTGCTGTGTGTACACCCAAGATCCCAGGAGGAGAATGGAGAAGAGATTGTGGCATGGCCATCCTTCAAGAGGTTGATTTCTCACTTTCCCTCTCTCTGTCTTTCTCTGGAAAGTGGATATACCCTATAGCAAAAACCTAATAAAAACAGGTGGACATGGTGTATGCCTGTGGTCCTAGCTGGGAGGCTGAGGCAGGAGTATTTAGACAAGGTGAAACCCCAGCAAAATATTCCAGAACATTCCTACTTTAGAGTATTTTCACTTATTCCTCCCCCTGAATAATAGGGCCATCCAAGTGCATGTTTTTGTGCCCAATTTCTACATGGCTGATTCTTCCTGTCCTTTGATGCCACTTCTTCAGCAAGGCCTTCCTTAATCACCTCTAACTGCTCTCTTAACATCACCTGGTAACATAGTCCTTGCAATGCATATCATTGTCTGAAAGAATCTAGCTTTTTAATTATTGATTTCTATTTCTCTCCTCTGGATTATAATTTCCACATAGCAAGGACCTCTTTGGCTATATTCACCCCTATTCCCAGGGCCAGGAACAAAGCATTCATGGGGAGAGCACTGATAATATAATTACTGAATGAACCTGACCCAGCCTAACTATTTGAGTAAGGTTTTTCAGGTACCTGAAAAATCTTCACCTCTGCCCACTGTTGTAACCACAGTGGAAACACCGCTGGTCATGAGTGTACTCTGCAAAATAGCTGTCAACTGCTCTCAGCTTACCCAAATACTGCAAGGACTGACAGCTTGTCAGAAGACGCAACGTAATGAGATTCACTTCTGAGCATCAGTTACTAAGAGGACAACACAGGGGTTGAGTTCTCCTTGACACTTTGGAGTGTCTTTAGCTGGCCTATGTCCACTGCAATGTGGGTCAACTAGAGATAATGAATGGTAAAGAGATTGTTTCTCCCAACTCCTATCAGAAATCTGAATGAGTCAAAAAGTATTAGTTTATATTTTTGCTTACTAGTTTTAGAAAGTGTATACATTTTATTATTGTCAAATGTATGCTCTGGTTTTATTTTGATTTGTTTTGTTTTCCCTGAGGGTTAAGTTGGATAAAAACTATAATTTAGGGATGGTTCAAGTTTCAATAAATCAATTCAATTCATACCAGTTTTCACCTTATGGTCCAAATCCTTCTGAGTTCTTGACCTTCTGCTCTGTCTTTCCTCCCTGGAGTTTCTATTTGTCTTCTCTTACTCAGATAGTTATGCTGGGTCAGGTTCAGGTATGCTCAAGCTCATTATTTTAGTCATTGAAAAGCTTCTGAAAAATCTCACTAGCTTTCTGTTATAAAACTCAGGGTTGAATTTTCTACTTTATAAACTTCTAAACAATAAAAAACCATGCTGACTTTTTGACTCCAATAAAATCGTGCTCCTGGAGAAACCCTAGCTGGTGTCCCCTGCAAACATATAGCTTGTGTTGTTACTCTAAGTAAGAATGGACACAGCTACTTTAGCCATTAAGAGGATTATTCTTGGGCCAGCAGGTGGCATGGTGGTTAAAGGTGATGTACTCCCACATGGCTGACCATGGTTCAAGTCCCAGACCTGGCAGCTTGATTTCTCTTTCTTTTTCTCTCTCTCCATCTCTGGTCAAATTAAAACAAACAAATAAATAAATAAGGTTAAATAAAAATAGTAATTCTTTTCTTTTTTTAAGGAAAAGAGGTTATTCTCATATAATAACATGTGAAAGCTCACTGTAAACTTTAAGGACAATACAAATGTAAGTTCTTTTTAAAAATGGATTAAGAACATGCAATGCATATTTAAAGTTTATTACCCAGAGAATTTTTCTCGTGGATTAAATTTGGATCTACATTTAACTAAAATCAATAGAAAAAGAAAGATAAGATATGAGAAACAAACAGCTCTACCATCCTCTATGTATTCAGCAGTATGGAAACAGACTTAAAGGACAAGGGCCATGATTGCAATACCCAAAATGTAATTCAACAAGCAGGAAGGTGTCACTGCACAGTGCCTGAGGCCACATGGAGGCCCAGGTTCAGTTCCCACTCAATCTAAAACAGACAGGGCATGATTGAGTTTTCTAATATGAGTTTATAATGCCACCTATTCAGAAAAATTGGATAATGTATGTGCATGTACACACATGTATGTTTTCATATAGACTGTAGTATTTAGCAGCAACTAATCCTAGTTGACTAGGAGGCTGGGGCAGGAGGATCATAACATGAACCCTATCAAAAAAATACTTAAATATCTCTTGCTCCTCTCTCTTCCTCCTGCATGTGTTCTCCCTCATGAAAAAAGAAAAAATAGATGAAAACAATCATTTTCACTTCTAATCAAATAACATGTTTTCACTGGATGTCCATCAAAGATTAACTTCTTAGCAATGGGACCTACTGATGTGACACATCACTATCTTCAACAGGCTTAAAGTCTTACAGCCAAATTAACCTTCAGAAATCCAGACATATAACTAGCTAGTGTTAGCAACAAGTGTTTATACATTCAATATTGCTTGTTTCATTGTTCAACACAAAGATTTCTAAACATAAAATCATAAAAAGCAATAAAAAAAGAACAAAACTAACTTATGGCTTACTTTTTAATAAATGGGTAACTAATGCAGCCCACCTCCCCCGACGCACACATTACCCAACAAAGTAGCCTAATGACTGTATTAGCGTTTTGATATTTCTTTAAAGCATAGAAAACCATATAAATTCACATTTGATATTTTGAAATTATTTTGACTGGACTATGGAGAGGGTGTAGTCTAGTCAAAAGAACTTAAGTACCCATCCACAGTTAGTGGCAACATCAGAACCAGGAGCTTCCACTGAACACCTTTTAAAGTATCTCATTTACAAAACAAAGCAGCCACAACTGGAACTAAACTTTAGTGATAGTGGAAAGGTTAAATACATAAGTAAAACCATTCTCTTTCAAAAGAAGAATTTGCTCCTTTTAATCATGAAAATCCTTACATTCAATTCTAAGACACTCAAGCATATCCCCAGTGAATTCAAATAACTGAAGTGCTCCCCCAAAACCTCTAATGTAATAATGACAGACAATACTGTGGTTATTAGCACTATCCTACCATTAACATATTATTTTACTGGGTCCTCTCAAGTACTAATATTTGATATTAGAAATAAAATATAGTACTTGACATTATTAAAAATTACTGACTAGGAGACCAGCAGATGACTTAATGGTTACGACGCTAAGACTGTGGTGGATCACAGTTCTAGTCCTGAACTCGGGGACTTAAAACTCATGTTGGGCACATGTGTGTGTGTGCCCAAAATCCTGAGAGGAAACTGGAGAAGGGATTGTGGCATGACCATCCTCCCTGAGTGGTGATTTCTTGCTTTTCATTTCTATGTTTCTCCAGTGAGCACATATACCATATAACAAAAATCTCTCAAAAAAAAAATTTTCTGACTAACTCTATCTTAAGAAATTTTTTTACCCTAATATCCAATATAAAATAACTTTAATGAGTTTTTGTCTAAGCTCTTATACTTAATATGGGTATCTGTCCATTTATATTCATTTGATTATTCTAAAACTGTTTCTACAAGTGTTAAAGCATCATATTGAAGGATTATAATGTTTTGCCTCATAGAAGGCAAATCAAATAAAACACAGCCCAAATAAACACATAGTCTAAAGAGGGTGTGGTTCAGTTTTCTAATATGAGTTTATAATGCCACCTGTTCAGGATAATCGGATAATGTATGCATATGTACACACATATATGAGTACATATAGACTGTAGTATTTAGGAGCTAGCATACCTCATACATACATCAAACCTCAACAGCAAAGATTAAAAGATAATGCAGATTCTAAAACTATATTTACAATTATTACTGTAGTGTTTTCCTATGGCACCGCAAAAACTTTATAGGTAATTGACTTAACCAAGGATGCTTATTTTACTAGCCAGTTATACCTCCTGTGTTCAGTTTGGTGGATTTGGGCTCTTTCTTTCTCTTGTTGCTGTTGTTTAAGTTCCAGTAATTCACTCTAGGAACAATAAAAGTTGTGAAATATGATTTCCAATTAACATGGTTGTACAGAAGACGTCCAAATCAATTGTATATTTAAACTTATAGCACTATCCTACCATTAACATATTATTTTACTGGGTCCTCTCAAGTACTAATATTTGATATTAGAAATAAAATATAGTACTTGACATTATTAAAAATTACTGACTAGGAGACCAGCAGATGACTTAATGGTTACGACGCTAAGACTGTGGTGGATCACAGTTCTAGTCCTGAACTCGGGGACTTAAAACTCATGTTGGGCACATGTGTGTGTGTGCCCAAAATCCTGAGAGGAAACTGGAGAAGGGATTGTGGCATGACCATCCTCCCTGAGTGGTGATTTCTTGCTTTTCATTTCTATGTTTCTCCAGTGAGCACATATACCATATAACAAAAATCTCTCAAAAAAAAAATTTTCTGACTAACTCTATCTTAAGAAATTTTTTTACCCTAATATCCAATATAAAATAACTTTAATGAGTTTTTGTCTAAGCTCTTATACTTAATATGGGTATCTGTCCATTTATATTCATTTGATTATTCTAAAACTGTTTCTACAAGTGTTAAAGCATCATATTGAAGGATTATAATGTTTTGCCTCATAGAAGGCAAATCAAATAAAACACAGCCCAAATAAACACATAGTCTAAAGAGGGTGTGGTTCAGTTTTCTAATATGAGTTTATAATGCCACCTGTTCAGGATAATCGGATAATGTATGCATATGTACACACATATATGAGTACATATAGACTGTAGTATTTAGGAGCTAGCATACCTCATACATACATCAAACCTCAACAGCAAAGATTAAAAGATAATGCAGATTCTAAAACTATATTTACAATTATTACTGTAGTGTTTTCCTATGGCACCGCAAAAACTTTATAGGTAATTGACTTAACCAAGGATGCTTATTTTACTAGCCAGTTATACCTCCTGTGTTCAGTTTGGTGGATTTGGGCTCTTTCTTTCTCTTGTTGCTGTTGTTTAAGTTCCAGTAATTCACTCTAGGAACAATAAAAGTTGTGAAATATGATTTCCAATTAACATGGTTGTACAGAAGACGTCCAAATCAATTGTATATTTAAACTTAGCTAGTTCAATACCTCATTTTTCAAACTTTTACATAGATGCAAAATTATTTTCTTATAGAAGTAGGTTGTAAAACTTAATTGTAGCTTACCCAAACAAAATAGTTCTTAGAGTATGAAATTGTTAGATTATAAAAACCAATGTGCATGGTCAAGATATTAGACCAATAGCGTAACATACACGGAGGAAAATATAATCCAAGTCAAACCCCTCTGTGTCTTGCAAATAAAAACAAATCAAATCAGTTCTTTAGAATATCACACAGTACTATTTCTTGGTATTTATTTTCTAATAAATTAACAACAGCTTACAAATAAATATTGGACTCAATTCTGTTGTGCAACTGTGTTGTTAAAACATATTCCCTCTTGTGGAATTCATGGTCACTTATTATTGATTAGTTACTTCTAATACTAGCAGAACTTTGGACTCCCCAGAGGGAATAATTTACTTCAAATCAGATCACATTATTATAACTAAATCTCTAGCTGCCAACACTATGATTAACTTTTTAGAAGAGGCACCTTAACTTTCAGATTCAGTTAGTATGTATACAATTTTACACTGAAGAACTAGGTCTCAGGATTTCTCAAATACCTAAGGCAGAGTGAGTTTTAATCCTATTTCAAAGGCAGAAAAAGACAGAGGGCATACAGAAAATTATGAGGTCTAAGTCATAAAGCAGTGCCTGAGTAAGAGAGATTTTAGATAGAGAAAGAATATTGTTGTGTCCTGATCAACACATACCAATGCGTGGTGCTGTTTGTTTTTTTTAACCCCCAAACTTCCCTGATGAAAAACATAAAATAAACTCAGAGTTTGGATTACAAACTTGTTAAAAAAAACTTTACTAAAAGGCATTCTAGGGGCAGCCAGGTGGTATAGTGGTTAAGACAGATGGATCAACTCTGTGGTTTGAATCCCAGACCCTGTGGCTTGAAAAATATGCTGGACATGTGTGTGTATGCGTGTGTGTGTGTGTCCAAAATCCTGAGAGGAGAATGGAGGAGGATAGATTGTGTCATCGTCATTCCCCCTTAGGGGGAGGAGGGTTACTTTTCACTCTCTCTTTCTCTCTTGTGTGTCTCTTCTTGAGCACATGTGCCCTATAATGAAGCAAACAAACAAACAAACAGACACGTATAATAGCACAGTTCTCCAAGATAACAAAACTGGTTTAATACTGTGATATTTCAGACATATTGCTCATCAGTTCCTTGAATACATTATTTAATCCTACTTCCTATACATCACTAACAATGAGGGAAATTAGTTTTCAAAACAACTAATCCTTTCAACAACAGCACCTAGATGACAGGTCTTATGATAGACTTTCATATTTCCACAACGGTATAAAGTCTTTTACTTCATTTTAACTTTTATCACTATCACATACACATGTCGTTTTAAAAGTCTACCAAGTATCAGTACTACTTATTAGTGTTAGTGGCAGGAGTGGTTCAATGGTAATGTAACACCCTGTGACCTTAATTGACAAGAGAAGTTTCCAGGTTCTAGTCTGGAGACCTTCCTGAGTGAACTGGGCACACCTGTGCTCATGATCTGGGCTGAAGTTGGGGGTAAGCTGCAGTATGAAGATCCTCTCTTTCTCTCTCTCATAGGAAAAAGAAACTAACTTTGAAAAATAAGAAAGTGTTTCAAATGACCTCAAATTCTACAGAAATTTTTATTAGAATTACATTAAATTCAAAGTAATTTGGATAGAACTGTAGTTATTGCAAGGTACGGGAACTTCAAAAAGTTTATGGTAAGTGGAATTAAGTACCACTTTATTTTGGCGCAAAAAGTTTTTGAAATTATGCATAGATTTTTCATTATATATGACTGTGTAAACTTTTTAAAGACTCTGTGTTGAATTTTATTGCTTAGGAGCAATGTCCAGTTCTACCTTTTTCAAACAGATTTTTATGTATTACAGGTAAGTATTTTTTTTTTTTTTGGTGGGAGGAAGGTTTGAACAATTTTTTACATAGTTGTTTTGATGAGATCTTTCTATTTCATTATATTTTCTAATTAAGTTTTCCTGATATTTGTGAAAGTTGTTGATTCTTGTATAGATATTTTGTAACAAATTATTTTTATTGAACTCTGTTTTATTCATTTTTTATTTGACTCTCTTAGGTTGTATAGGCAAATTGCTCTCATCCATAAACAATAAGTTAACTTCTAATAGTTTTTTAAAAACTTATTTTTGTCTTGTCAAGTAAGCTAAAACAATTCTCAAACCTTGTTCCATATAATATTAACAGCTTTTGCTTTTAGTACAAAAAAAGTTTTCCATTCAATAACTTTAAGAAGCACTAGATTAGTATTTCCAGAACAATGCTAGTTAATGGTAAGGGATGTTTGCAACCTTATGTTGACATCCTTATGTCATTCACTAAGTAAAATGCTAGTTATTGGTTTGGAAGAGTGTATGTTAAGAAAATCTCTTTTATGGTTCACTAAAAAGTAATCTTAAATTTAATTAAAAATAGAGGTTAAAATTAATGCCTTTTGTGCAACTAAAGAGATAGCTCATTTTTTTCCTCTCATGACCTATCCTATTACAGTAATTAGATATAAAAAGTTATAATATAGAGCTAGTCATCTTTGCATTTCTAAGGTAAACCCTATTTTGCCTTACTAAATTACTACTTAGAAAAATTCTAATATCTAGAACTTTCATTCAGATGGTATTCGCTATGATCTACTTGTAAGAATGTTTGTGGGGGCTGGCAGGTGGCATGGTGGTAAATAGTGCTGGACTCCCACATGGCCGACCACGGTTTGAGTCCTAGACCTAGCAGCTTGTATTCTCACTTTCTCTCTCTCTCTCTCTGGTCAAATTAAAATTAATTAATTAACTAAATAATTAAACAAAGTTAAATAAAATAATTTTAAAAAAGAATGCATACAATCGCTTCTTCAATGCTTTGACATCATAAAGATAATTAAATAAAATATCAAAGTGTATTTTCTTATTCTATGCTCTGAAACAATTTGATTTTTTGTTATTGTTGTTGGATTTTAAAGATTTTTGCCTTAGGGCTCATGCACTGGAGTTGGGGGGGAGGGCTCCAACAGACAGTGAGAGGGAAAGTGAGAAATCACCCCCCCAATGGGTGATGGCCACACTTCAAATCCCTTCTCCTTCATTCTTCTTTGGTATATTGGGCACACACGCACAAACGCCTGGCATGAGTTTCGAGCCTCTAGGTCTGAGACTTGAACTGCAGTTAGCTATGTGGGAGTCTAGTGATATAATCGCTACACCATCTGCTAGTCTGCTCTGAAATAATTTGTAAAGCACACAAAAAAATATGTTCCTTGAAAACTTCAGAGAAATTTGAAGGAAGTTCAGCCTGTTAGGAGAAGTAATTTTCAGAAATCTTTAGAAATTGGTTGCATTGGGACCAGCAGTTGGCATAATCACTGTCGCTGGACTCCCATGTAGCTGATGACGGTTCAAGTCCCAGATCCAGTAGCTTAAACTCATGCCAGGCACTTGTGCATGTGTGCCCAAATCCTGAGAGGAGAATGGAGGAGAAGGGATGGTCTTGCATGGCCATCCCCCCCTAGGGGGTGATTTCTCAGTTTCTGTCTCTCTGTCTTGGTCTGTCTTTCTGGTGAATGCATATACCCTATAACAAAAACCTCTCAAAAAAAAAATAAATAAAAAGAAAGAAATTGGTTGCATTTTCATTTTTCTTTATTTAAGTCATTTTGGGAGCTTCATATTTTCCTAGGAAAATTATTTACATAATCTAGACTTTCAGTTAATTAGTATAGTATTATCTAAAGTAACATAAATTTAATCTCTCCCAAATCTATGATTCTAGTCCCTCATTTCTAATTTTGTGTATTTGCATTTTTACTA